GGTATAGGTACATATGCCCACTTCGTGTGCGTTTTAGCATGTTACCTCTATTCAGGTTGAGACCGGCCTATAGTCCAGTGAGAGTCCTTTAGTGTGACTATATATATATTTACGGACTATTAGCTATTGTTGAATTGTTTAGGATGTACATGCGTATCGGGCCTCTGTTTGGATTGTAGTAGTATAGAACTTGCGCGTGGGCCTGACCCACTTCTATTTTTCAGGTACACGACAGTTCTAGGCTTAAACGTGTTCGTGCTGAGCAGAGGTCTCTATTCACTCTTCCGACGATGTAAGGCTCTCTCTATGGTTTTATTTCTGGATGTTTATTACAGTTGTTCTATCTTCCGTTTGGATGTTTAATAGGGGTCCACTAGAGATGGATTCCCGAGTTGTAAACTGATGGAGTTTTGGAGTTTGGGTTTGATGGATTTTAATAATTATAATATTTTGCGGATTCTATTTTTAGTTCTTTTCAGCTTTAATTTCATTTCTTAATTCATTTTGTATTCCATGTTCATTATAAAATACTTTAATTATTTGATATTCCCTCGTGCTCGGGCCTGGGCCTGATCGACCCGTGTCTCGGATCCGAGGGGTATCACAATAGTGCCACAGTATACCACACCTGGTTCTCCTGAATAAAATCGAGTTACAAAGAAGAGAAACCGCACCTATCAAGATGTTGTTCGCAGTTTGATGAGCCATTCTTCACAACCTAAGAACTTTTGGGGAGAAGCTCTTAAAACGGCAGTTTATTTTCTTAATAAGGTGCCATGTAAAGCAACTCCTGAAATATCCTTCAAGCTTTAGACAAGTCGTAGACCTAGTCTTCGACATTTGCATGTGTAAGGATGTCTTGCGGAGGCAAAGTTGTACAATCCTGATATTAAGAAGCTTGATCCTCGCACTGTTACTTGTCATTTCATTGGGTATCCTGAGAGATCATTTAGTTACAGATTTTATTATCCCTTTAGACCTATGGAGATTGTTGAGACAAGTCATACAAAATTTATTGAGAATGGCGAATCCAATAGGAGTTTGGATCATTGTACTTTCTCTTTTTTACAGAAGAGCAATCTTCTGTGCCTATTCCATTTACTACAAATTTAATTCCAACTTCAATTATTCCATTCAAAGCTCCTAGTCCCACCCCTTCAGTTATTCCTCGTATGCAACCTCTTGCTTCAACTTTTAATCCACTTTCTGAGCCTGCTCAACTTAGAAGATCTTCTAGAACTTGGAGGTCCGCTATACCTGATGACTTTGAGGTGTATATTAATGAGGTTGACATTGGCGAGCATGAGGATCCAACTTCATTTAATGAAGCCATGGAGAATCATGAATCGTCTAGTTGGATAGATGTTATGAAAGATGAAATACACTCTATGGATGTTAATGGGGTGTATAAGCTTGCTGATTTACCTACAGATCGCAATGCGGTGGAGTGCAAATTGGTCTTTAAGATCAAGAGGGATTCACTTGGAAATGTTGATAGATATAAAGCTAGATTTGTGGCTAAAGGTTGCAAGCAGAAGCCAGGTGTTGATTTCTCTGAGACTTTCTCTTCAGTTTCATCAAAGAACTCTTTGAGAGCCATTCTTTCTATTGTTGCACATTATGATCTTGAGTTGCATCAGATGGATGTGAAGACAGCATTCCTTAATGGAGACCTTGAAGAAGAGATATACATGTCTTAACCTAAAGGTGTTATGGTTAAGGGACATGAACATCAAATGTGTAAATTAAAAAAATCAATTTATGGGCTTAAACAAGCTTCACGACAGTGGTACTTGAAATTTGATGAAATGATTACTAGCTATGGGTTTAAGGAGAATGTTGGAGACAAATGCATATATCTTAAGGTCAGTGGGAGTCATTTTATTATTCTTATCTTATATGTTAATGATATCTTACTAGCTAGCAATGACATTCATGCGATACATGATACGAAGAATTTTTTATCAAGTCATTTTGATATGAAGGATATGGGTAATGCTGAGTTTATCCTGGGTATTAGGATCCATAGAGATCGCATAACAGACACACTTGGTTTATCTCAAAGGCATATATTAATAAAATTTTAAAAACTTTTGGGAGGGAAACTTATGCACCTGGTGAGGTTCCAGTTGTAAATGGGGATATTTTTTTAGAAGAACAATGTCCTAGGAATGAGATTGAGAAAACTAAAATCGATGTCACCGCATATGCGTCTGGAGTTGGAAGTCTGATGTATGCTATAACGTGCATTAGACCAGATATTAGTTATGTGGTTGGGATGTTTGGAAGATTTCAGCAAAATCCAGGTATTGCTCATTGGAGGGGGATGAAGAAAGTTTTCAAGTATCTTCAGAGAACAAAAGAGTTTATCTTGGTGTACAGGAATCAAATCGTTTGGAGATAGTTGGTTATTTTGATTCGGACTATGCAAGTTGTTCAAGTAGTAGAAAATTCACTTCTCGATATATTTTTATGTTGGCTCAAGGAGCTGTATTATGGAAAAGCTCTAAGCAATTCATTATCGCAGATTCAATTATGTATGCAGAGTTGATCAGTTGTTATAAAATGACCAAACGTACCATGTGGTTAAAACATTTTATTGCGAATTTAAAGGTTGTAGACTCCATACACGAGCCTTTAATACTTTTCTGTGATAATGAAGCTGTCACAAAATATTTGAAAAATGAAAAATTGACCAAGCGTAATATGCACATAGATATAAAGTACCTTTACGTATGCGAGAAGGTTAAGCAATATATTATTGAGGTTCCTCATATAGATACAACAAGGATAATTGGAGATCCTCTCACTAAAGGTCTTTAGCTAAAAATATTTAAAGAGCACGTGATTCGAATGAGTATTCAAGAGTCATTGTGTTATGATGTCTGATTTCTCTACTACATCATGTTACATTGCAATTGTTTTCTTTCAGTTTATTTACACCTTATGGTGACAAATATTTACATGAAAATAAAGTTATGATGCACCATTATTATTATTACATTGTTGTATATGATATGTGCACATGTTATTCTTGTTGCCTGGGAGTGGTATTTCACTCATGAATTTGTTTGGGCTAGATGTGAAATTGGCACCACATTGGTAAATCCAAACATAACTACTAAAGTTTGTCTGTATGAGTGTTAATGCTCTATGAGGATAGCTTGGGCTAGATATATCTATATCGGTAAACCCTCACACTAAACAAAAAGTTGGAGGTTTGTTGTAATATGTTCAGGTGACATTACGCGATGATATGAAGCAGGACGGATAGTGAGGTGTGCCTTTAGACCATATACAGTTTGCACATCTCATAAAATACAATAACAACCACTATATTTGCTTGAATCCTAAATGGAATTGGATTTGAGACCATGAAACTGTTTAGACTAATATATTACTTATCTACGCATTCATGATCCACTATTGAGAAAATTTATGGAGGAGAGTGTTCTAAAGTTTCAATCCATCAATTTCGATAATTCTGTTTTCTAAATAAAAAATGAGTGGTCACTTAACTTTTATAAAGTGTGTTGCAATCCATAGTGTCATTTTATAAAACTTAAAGTACATGAATAAAGTGGGAGATTGTTGGAAATTTTTTTTATATATAAATAATAAAAATTATTTTATGGTCCTGTGCACTACGTTTTTTAAAGTAGGATTGCAATGTAATTATTGATACTTCATGGATTGGGTTGTACTTTCTAATTTGGTGGTCTAATTAAGAATATAGTTTTTCTACCGTTGGATTGTGATTTTCCAACTTATTTGGTGTGATCTAATTTTAACCATTAATATCTAAGTTTCCATGATAGGAATAGAGACTTAGGTATGCTTGTTGTTGTTATATATAAGAGTTTTAAAATCCTTATTCAGACTTATCGTATCGACAACTCTTAGAAGGTGGTAAAGTGCTCTAATTTTTCAAATCTCTCAAAAGGCACTAAAGAATTCTCAAAAGTATCTAAAGTTTAATCTTCTAATAAGATATTATATCAAAAATCTCTCTTTAATTCATAATTACTTTTGATTTTTACATGTTACTTATTATTTAAACCAGACAGTCCCAAGTCACATAGAGATACTTGAATGGTACAACCAATCTAATGTCTAAATTATGGGGTCCATTCCACGATCAGAAAGAGTTGATGATTTGGACACTAAAAATGTCCCTTCTGCAAAAAAAAATCAACCACCACTGGTATAGCTCACTAAGAAGAAAGAAAGAAGAAAATCACATCTACCTTCATCATATAATTAAGATATTTTGTGTGTGTTCTTATTGTATAACAATTTTCCTACCGAAAGTGAAATCTAAGTGTTTTTGTATAATCTTCATATATTCTATTACTATTTAATTGAATAGACGAAAAAAAAAAAAAAACCTTCATCATCTACCTTGTTCGATTACATGATCAAGTGATCTTAGCTGATGGATCTCGTGTTTTATGTGTTGCTTGATTAGTTACATCGTGAAACAATCTGGGCCATCAAAATCAACATGGTGGTTGATGGGTCATTTGTAACTCATGTAATGGATGAACTTGTGCTTCATAACTAAATATATAATTTAATCACCCATGAACCAAGGGCCTATAAAAAGGACTAAACGTAGAATTTTGGTGAGGTTCTAACAATGAAACTAGTATTATGGGAATGCTAGGAATTTCAATTTGGCAGCGTTTCTAAGTTATACTCAATATATAATTAGTACGTGTTTTAAATTAAAATAACATGATTTTTCAAAATTACAATTTTTTTTAAATAAAAAATGAATACAATGACTTATAGAGGGTGCTATTTTATGAACATACTTAATTGTTAAATCTGACTTAATTAAATTTCGAAAAGAATGCTATTATTTTGATGTTTTAACCACCTATAGTAGACACTTCAATTACCTTGAAGTCATTACACGCTTCTAATCTTTAATTTGAAATTATCTTATTTTGGAATATATATTAAAGGGTGTTAACATATATGTTCTCTCTAGCATATACCATAAAATAATTTGATCCGTTGTTTATGCTGGGATTGACGCTTCCAAACAAGAGCAATTCAAGATCATGAGATCTTCATGTATCATATAGAAATGGTTCAGTTGCTCCATTTCATGAGATGCCATATTTATTGATCTACTACATAAAGTTAATTTCATTTAAATAACTAGTTGCAGCCCCCAGGAGCAAACCCAATTCTTGAATTGGCGACATCATAAGCCACACTATATGTCTGATGCTGATGGTTTCCAATAATGGCGATATCACCCAAGTCCGAGTTTCCTGCGAAGGCCAAGCATGTAATGCCCTCCTCAGCCACATCATACAGAATGTTTTGAGGCGGAAGAGTGAGGTCAGCCTCTCCTTGAAACGCCATCCGAACCTGAGGCACATCTGACATTTCTTTCAAACTCCCTGTATAACATGTGTCGAATAATGCAGAAGGCGGGGCAGTCTCATGCTTTGAGGACATTATCTTTGTGAACTCATCCCTGAGCGCAGCATACACTGACGTAGGCAAGCGAGTGATCACCGTCCCAGAATCTATAATTGTTGGAACCTGGTACTCGGCCTCTCCCACTCCCAGTGTCCTGCCTGCCACTGCAATCGCCGACAAACTCAAAAAGTAAAAGCCGCCCCCTTGAGAATCAGTAAGCATTGGAGTGAACTCGTAGGAAAATCCCATCAATGAATCCCTCCCTATGGACAATGAGCCTCCAGTGCCTCCGTGTGCTGTTGGGAGGCAGTAGGAGAAGGCATTTCCATATTTGGATGACAATTGAGAGAACATGGAGAGTTTGTTGCGGTCCAGGCCAAAAAGACCAGCAGACTTACCGAACAACCCTTCATTATCCTGGCCACACCCGAACACAAAACTAGGCAGCGTTTCTGACTGGGTTAGGGTCAGTGAATCCTGACTCAAGTAGCCACTAGTGAAAGATTTGTCCCCATAGGTAACCTTGTACAAGCACTCGTCAGAGGTAGTGCAAGCACGGTTATCAAGGGAATTGCACTCGGGTGTTGTGCACAATAACGTTTTGTAGGTGCTGGACGTAGAGGGGTCGAAAAAAGGAACGACCTGATCATGGCAAGACACCTCGCAAGGCTTGCATTGCAGCCAGGAGATGGTGCTGCCTGTGTCGACAAGCACAGGATAGTCACTGGGTGGAGTGCCAAGGCCAATCTCAACATAGTAATTGCCAGAACTAATAGACTCGCCAGGGTTCACGGGTGTGCTAATGGACTTTGGTCCAAAAAGGTGTTCTGATTTGTTAGTGAGTCTGAAGTTCAGATGCTTAACTCGTGCTTGGTCCCGAGATAGTAACTCGGAGATGGATGGTGGAGACTGGGAGGTTAGAGGTGAGCCATGTCCACGCACATGATGCAAGGTCATGTGCAAAGCTGAATGGTCAAGTCCTTCCTCTGCTTCTGCCCAAAAAAGAGAAATAGGAGAGAGTTAAATAATGTCCCTTTTCAGCTATCAATATTATGCACAACGTATAATACTTGTATGATCATTCCCAATCAATACATTTTGTATGTGAACAAAGAAAAAAAGTATATGTTATATTATGTGAAATGTTGCCAACAATATATTGAATTATCAATATGTCAGTGACCTAATAGTATCAGATTTCTATTTTTCAAAAGAAAGTCAAGAGTTTGAACCTCAGTAAAAACATGCGTGTGTAAGTACCAACTACGAAAAAAAAATAAACAATACATTGAACCAATGAGATAACCATATCACATGCCTTTGATTACCTGCAAATGAAGATGTTGCAAACAGGAAGAAAGAAGCGAGGAACCAACCCAACCCCATTTCTCCTACACCTCTGGAACTGCTATACTGGTTTTATGTATATGGTTCTCCCACACACACACACACATACATACATACACAGAGTAGCAAAATTGTTAATAAGAATTCGGGGACGACTTGGGGTCTTCTGTACCTTTAAAAAAAAAAAGACTTGGGGTCTTCACATAAGTCAGGAGTTCCCACGATGAGAAAGAGTCAATGATATGGACACCTTTGCATTGCAAATCATCAACTAGTGGTAGTGTAAGACAAATGACAGCATGATGCGAGGACGAAATCAAATGCTGTTTTAATGGATGGAAAGACTTTTCAGAACAGTACAACTATTATTTCAGTATTTTTTCCACCCGACCCGGTGAACGTGGTACGACAAAATGCGCGTTTTATTCTTTCTAAACCTACAAAACTAACTATCCCACCCTAGAGTATGGGATAGTGTAATTCTTGAGAAATTATTTGGCAGAGACTTTTCAGAACAGTACAACGATTATTCCAGAATTTTCCACCCTGAGCCAGTGGTACAACAAAATGCGCCATTTATTCTTTCTAAACTTACATGACTTAACTATTCCATGCTAGAATATGAAATAGTGTAATCCTAAGTAAATTATTAAGTAGTTTTGGGACCATTGGTTCCAGCCAACTGTATGATGACACATAAATAAAAGTGAATTGATGTTGACATAAAATCAACACATTTAATTAAGTGCTAGTACACCATTAATCGGGAGCCAATAGTCCCTCCACTACCTGATAATTTCTAGAAACCTCGGCTGGATACTTGCATTTTATTCAAATCTATCACCCCGCCTATCCCGCCATTACAATCCATCACACAAGTTGCACAACTAAAGTTGGAGTTGTGCCTCTATGCTTGGTGAGCTGTGAGTTGGGTCTTGTCATTTTTCTCTTTCTATCCAACTGGGCACATGAATACACGAGGACCAAGGAATATATATTTTATTCTTTTATAAAGGTAAGAAGGTATAAAAATCAACATATATTCAATGATAAATTTAAATAATAATTATTTATGTTATATATTACAATTAATGGCTTAAAAATTTTTAAGGAGTCCTCCGACACTACAAAAAAAATTTATTCTGTTTAAACTATTTTTTTTTTTTTAATTGGTACTCACACATTCATATCTCTATAAAAATTTAAAAATTTGACTTTTCTTTGAGAAATAGTATTCTGATCCTATTAGACCGCTGACCTGCTAATATATATATATATATATATTCACCACTACAACGACGAGTTTGTGTATACACTTTTATTACAGTATAGCACCTGTTTTTTTATCACTCCTTCAAAGTTAAACAAAACAATTCCTACTCTCCTCTAGATAAACACCACATACACCAACAGATAAATTTAGACAATAATGCATGGTAGCCACACATCATACGGACAATAATAAAACACAACATAAATTCAAAACCCGACACCACGTACACTAAAAATAATTTTAGACACTAATAGTCTAATACATAGTAGCCACGCAGCATACATGCAATAAAACACTAACATACATTCAAAACCATCAAGCACCGGATGATATTAAACTACTGTTACTATTTTTTTTTTTTTATATCTAGTATGGGGTTCGAATTTCACCATTTTGAAGAGGAGAAGTTATACTAGTGAACTAATAACTCGTTGGCGTGTAGTTCAATATATTCTTGCATTAGGCTTGCTTAAAATGATTCACATAAAAAGACTTAGCTTTTAGTGTCTCCCAAAGTATCAATTCCTCTTAAATGCAAATAATTTTTTAGGGGTGTAGTGAGTGCCTTACATTGTCCCATGAATTAATTGGGCAAAATCCCGAACACCCCATTTATTGAAAAAAAAGTATATATTAATTCGAAAAACCTATAATGAGACTTAATTTTTTAAAAAAGAATAGTTACTTGTAGAAAAAATTAAATAAATAATAAAATAAAATAAAATAAAAATTAAGAAATATTAGTGGGCCTTTCCCTTGAATGGGCTAGGTGACATCCTAAGACTCCAGCTGCCCTGGTGATTAACATTTCCTTATAAAAATATTATGATTAATAAGCAAAATAAGAGTGAAGTTATATTGTATAAAAAATTTATGGACTCATAATACATATCTTAATACTTCTATTTTAATAAGTTTTAAACGTTTTTTAATAATTTTATTATCATTTTATTTTTGAAAAAGTTACATTTTAATATTTAAAACTTGTTAAGTATATATTCTGAAGAATTTGAGAATTTGAAAAGAATCGAATAGGGGTTGAAGTGTCAAAGAAGTATTCGAGCAAGCAGAAGCTGAAAGATAGATAAATTGCACACTGAGATAATAGCGAAGTAAAAACTTCAAATTCAAAAAAGTTACTATATTCTTACTCAATTTTTAATTTCAAGATATTTGAATACAATTTTCTTCAATCTCACACTCTTTTTATAGTGATTTACAACCGACAAAACAATGAATGGAGGCCCTTTCTCTTCACTTCAATTTCCAAAAGGCATCTAGATGTTTGCTGCTTCAACTTTCAGCCCATTGTTTCTTCAAACTTTTCAGCCAAATATTCCATGTCTCCCGTGGCACCAAATATTACAATTTCAATCTCATGCTTCAAATTTTCACCTCACCTTTCACCATTTCAACTTACACTTTTATTCTGGACCCATATGTTAATAACCCACCCCATTAATTCCAAAACCATTTAGGCCAAGAGAGCCAATCAACTTTGATTCCCCTATGCAGAAGAGCCCATTGGAGCGACAACATGAGCCCACCCCATTAATTCCACTGGGACGAATGCGGCGATTTTTCTTCTTCCTCTATCAAACTCTTATTCCTCTATCCTTATCAATAGAAAACATTTTTTTCTGTATGAATTCATATTTTTTATTACATTCCAATTCCTATACCTCCCAAAAAAATCTCAATAGAAGACATTTTCTACTCTGTATGAATTGATATTCTTTATTACATTCTAATTTCAATACCTCCCGAGAAAAATCTGATCCCAAATTGACTAGTTTTGTAAGCTTAACTTCATCTATTTCAAGGGTAATATTGGCATTAGAAAGTCAACGAGCGGATTAGACCTACTTGTCACTTTTGGGGAGATTACTAGCCCAACTTCATCTATTTCAAGGGTAATATTGGCATTAAAAAGTCAACCAGCATATTAGACCTACTTGTTACTTTTGGAGAGATTAGAGTAATTTTTTATCACAGAAAAAATTATTTGAACCAATTCACGAAGCCCAATTCCACATTTAAAATTGGTCAAATATTTGAGTTAAAGTCTTTTACCTCGGCGAAAATGTCATTAGAACTCTAGAACTCTCCAATTGACATAAGTGAGAGCTCTCCCTCCTATGGAATTTCTACCATGAACTTAACATTTTGCATTGTATTTGTTATTTGTAGAGTTGGAGTCGGACCATATTATTGAAACAGAATCACAAGTCTCTGCGTGTGTATTTTGAGTTTCATTATAACTTCTTTGATCGTCACATTTGAACACCCTATCAAATATTTACATGCCTAGAACACAACTCAATTATCTTGTCCCTTGAAAATTTGGAGAAATGTCATTTCACAAACCACTAGAGTTGAAGGCTATTTCATGCGGCGAATGTTTTCTAGCAAGTTTTATCCAACAATTTCCATAATAATTTTCTAGCAAACGAACCAAATACTAGCTGAATTAGTTTTCATTACCACAATGTGGAGGAGTTACCGTTCGACTTAGCTGGCTTGACGTTGAGCAGTTTGTCCTTGTAGCACAATGCCAGCCAAGTTCGAGCTTGGCACATGACCTCTATTGTGGAGCCAGAGTTCAACTGTATTATCGCCGGAAAGCATTGTTGTCGCCCGCTCCTGACCTGCCCTGCGAATAAAATTTCCGACGGACGCTTTCCTCTATTGTGGAGCTTCCCCCTTTCTCAGCACCGTACACGCTTTTATGAGCAGCATCCAAGAAATTTCTGCCACTAGACACGCGTGCTCGGCTAGCCTCCTGCGCATCATCTTCCTCAGCCTTCTTTAGTCGTTTACATCTTTGTTCCTTATGCAGCTCAGCATCCATTTGCATCTCTCGTAACCTCAAAGCTCTCTCTTCATCAGAAAGTTTGGGGGGAATATTCCGACGCTTCTTGTGTGATTCATCCTGTGGTGCCACGTCAGGAGACTTGTAACGGCTTGCATGAGAAAACCTTCTGTCTTCCCTTCCCTTTCTAGCAGATTCAGAATCCTTCCGGCCTTCTGAATAATATTCCTCATGTTTTGACTTGTCATAAATCCTCTTGGTTCCATATTTATCTTCACTTTGTCTAGAATCATTAGGTAGTGGCTCTTTGTACTTCAAGTCCTTGTCAGAATTCTTCTTTCCTCGAATATCCCTTTCATGTAATTCTTCTGAACTTAGAGCTGCTTTCTTTACATGGTCATCATATTTTGAGCTTTTGCCTTTATTAGAGGTTCTTCTTTCTTCTTCTTCTCCTTCATCAACATCTTCGGAATGACGAATTCTTATGATGCTTTGAGTTCTTATGCTGGTGCTTCTTGTGGCGTTCTTTTCTATCAGGACTCTTCTCCTTGTCCTCATTTCCTTTAACCTAGAAATGAAAAACGGTATGTACAACATATTAATAAAACCTTTCACGTTGTTCCTTTAATCATTGCCCTTTAATCATTCTTCATGCTGTTCCTTCCGCATTTTTTTTTTTTTTTTTTTTTTTATTCTCTTTCAACTTCCCAGTTGCAAATTCCTTGGAATCAACATGCTAGTCTTATATATTTATTTATTATTATTATTATAAAAAATTGGTAACAAACTTGTAGATTCATCTTAGTCCTAATGTTACAAATGCTTGACTGAATCATAATCATTCTTGCTTTTCTTTTATATATATATATCAAAAGTTGATGCAAAAGTCTGTATGTTCCGGAGTCGGTGACGATTCCTACAAGACAAGAGAAAACAGATGACCGGCATGGTATCGGCCGGGTGCACTTCAACGGTCAAGTTAAGACTTGACGATTGAATATCCGATAAAGGATTAAATATGAAATTTATGACATACCTTTTTAGGTTGACTAATGACTTCTTTTATAAAAGCATTAACAGTAGTAGTCTTCTATCATGAAACAAATATATTTTCCTTGTCCATTACGGATTTAAGAGTCATTGGAGAGGGTAATAGTTGTTATTTCTATCTCCTTAAGTTTATCCATACCCTTTGAGTCTTTATGTCACTTGGAGTTCTTATCTAGTCGAATATTCCGTATCAGTAGCCCCACTTTCCCGAAATCTTGCTTGTCAAGCTTCGAGAATGCCAAGTCCTTCCAAGCTAAGCATGCTTGATGATTACTTTCTTGCCCCTTTTAATAAGGGAGTGAATTTGCTTGAGCTTTGTGAGCTCACCCTTTAATAAGGGAGTAGTTAACCCCTCATCTCTTTATTGAAGGAAGAAGATGAAGTTGGCCCTTTGTTTCTTTATGGGGGAAAGAGGTATAGTCTTAATGAGGGTGACCATTTTAATACGAGAGGTAGTCGTCTCGTCTCTCTAGTAAATGAAGGAAGTTTTAATTATCTCACCCTTTTGTGTAGAGGGAGTAGTCGGATTCTTGTCCCTTTAATGGGGAAAGAATGTGTTGTTAGCCCTTGGTCCCTTTAATGAGGAAATTTTTAATAAGGTGTAGTCAGCCTCTCGTCCCTTTAATAAGGGAAGTAGATTAATACTAGTTTCACTCAGCTCGTCTCTGTAATAAGGTAAGTAGATTAATACGAACTTCACTCAGCTCACCCTTTTAATAAAGGACGTAAATTACTATGAGTTTCACCTAGCTCACCCTTTAACAAGGGAAGTAGAGTATTATGAGTTTCACCCAGCTCACCCTTAATATTTGGCCTCCATTGCCTCAAAGCCTTTTTATTTTGTTTTGAATTTCTAAGAAATAAGGTCCCATCAAAACAAACTAAATGCCTTAACAATAGTTGAGTAGTTATTTCAATTGTTAGATAGAAAACTACGAATTTGCGAAATTTTAATTTCCTATATTTTTCGTAAATTTATTTACTTTTTGGTAAGTCTATTTTATTTTTCTACATTATCTTAGCAGTAAACAAGAGCAGCTAAACAATAAATGGAAGTGGCACTGTAATACCTCGATAATTTAAAGAATTTATTAATTATGATTATTTTATTTTATTTTATTTTATTTTTAAATGATTTATTTGATTTAATTTAGTTAATTGTGTTTATTTTAATTTTAATTGATTTGTTTTATTAAGTGCTTTGATTAATTGTTTTATTTTATTTATATTTCGGGAATTATTGATTTTGTATGATGATTGATTGTTTGTGTACTTAATTAGTTATTGAATTGTTGGCGTGTTGATTTTATTGGTATGGTTGACTTAGTTAAAAATCCTTGTTTGTTTATATACTTTATGTAATTAGTTATTTGAATTTAAGTGTTTATTTAACTGTTTTATTTATTTAAATTAATTGGACTGGGCTTAAGGAAAATTGGATCAAAGGATATGGTCTTGGGCTTGAATGAATCTTTATTGGGTTAATTAATAAAGCCCATGGTTTTGTGATTATGTAACAATTATTTTTTTTGTATAATTATAAATATAATTAATTAATTAATGTTATGGAAGAATATATATATATATATATATATATATATATATATATATATTTATTTATTTATTTATTTATGGATATATATAGGTATATGTGATTTAATTAATTAATAATTAATTATGGAAGGATATATGCATATATATATTATATAAAATATGCGTGTCTAGATATATGTATTAGTTAAGGATAATTAGTTTCCTTTTATTTAGTAGTCATTATTGGTATAGGATTAGGTATTAATGTGTATAAATATACACTTAAGGTTTAATCGATAAAAGTTTGTCACGTTAGAAAAATAAGAGAGGCAGAGAAAGAAGAAGGAGGACTGGAAGGAGGAGGCCGGATCTGAGAAAGAAGATGCCGGAATTGGAAGAGATAATTAAGGCTTGAAGCGTCGGTTTTGTTTCGAAACCTTCAGGCGAGTTTTTCTCTAACTTTCCTCTTAGAACTCATAAGAATTTCACCTTGAGTATCAAGGCTTTATATTTAATTTATTAATTAAATAATGATTAGAACGGATTAATTAAGAGCATGAATTATTGTATTATATATATATATATATATATATATATATATATATATATATATATAAACTTTGGATTTTAAATTGTTGATGTGTGTGTGTTGTATTTATTTTTAAATTCAATTGTTGTGCTTGATCTATGACCTAGGAGTTATTTAGGATTTATAGATTTTCTGGGAATTTTCTAAAATTTTCTGGTAATTTTTTTATATTTTTTTGGAATTATATTTGATTTATGGATTATATTTATTTGGAAAATAAATAAAATGTATATTTATATATATATATATATATATATATATATATATATATATATACACTGTATATATATATACATACTGGGAGTGTACTGGCGCATCAATAGTGATGCAATCCAGTGCGGCGCAATACATAGTGTTACTACGCACGCGGGTCATGAACGGCTGAGATGTCTTGATAAAGAGACGATAGCCTTGGTGTAGTGTGGCGCATAGAGCTTTAGTGCTCCATTTATCAGAGACCGCAAGATGCAATTTGATCAATTGAGCTGATCCGGTGTGATGCGGATCACAGAGGTGTGGTACGCGCTAGCTTTGGAGAGCTGAGATGCGCTGATGAGGAGTGGGTGATCCAGTGAAGGTGCGCTCATGCGACAGGGAGGAGTACAGCCAATCAGAGTGCGCCACATCAGCCAGAAGGTGAAGCAGGAGCGTGAACAACGCGTGGGAGCGCGTGAGACCAGCTGTCAGCATGTGGTGGCGCGTGGAAGCATGTGAGGGGTGTTTAGGGGCGTGTGACGGTGCGTGGCTGCGCGTGAGGCATTGTTTGAGGTCTCAGTAAGTCGCTACAGTGTTTGGTGATGTTCCAGAATTGATTTCAAGCTGGTTAGTGTTGAAATCAATCATTAGATGATGTATTTTAGGTGTTTAAGGAATGTAGGACATTACTACGATATTTTAATAACGTTTTCTAATGCAACTACGAATTAAATTGCATAGAGGGGATTACATTACTTCGGATTAATAAAGGTAATAGTTAAAGTTACTTTATGGTATATAGAGTTAATTAATAAGTTTTAAATCAACTAATAAGTTGTGATTGTGTGGTTAGTATGCCTTATATGTGGTATTGCCTAATTAAATCATAATTGGCTGGTTGTTTAAATAAATGATATGCTTATAATATGCATGAGATGTTCATGTATGAATTAACTTATTTTTTTAAAAGTTTAAAGGTTGGTACATGGTTGAGTTGTTATAGATGTAAATATATATTGCTTAATTAAGTATATGAATAAATTACATACATAGGAAACATGGATGAGTTGCTAGTTTAAAAGTATAAATATATATATACTTCTGGAGGCATGGTTGATTTGCCAATGTATAAATAAATATACATACACGGAGGCATGGTTGAATTGCTAATGTATAAATAAATATACTTAAAGGAGGCATGGTTAAATTGCCAATATATAAATAAATGTATTGATAATGGCATGGTTGATTTGCCAAAGCGCAATTAAATTGCTATGCGTTTGATGATTAAAATTTCATCTAAGGTTTTTGTATGTGTAAGTTGGATTAGGATTAGATATTCTTATATTAGAATTACCTAGCACTTATAGGTTAATTATTTATTTTATTATATTAATAAAATAACATTAGTAGAGATGTATAATTTGTCAAAGCCTAGGTATTGGCTGTATGATTTAAATAACTAAATTCATTATTGGCTTTTGGGTTATAGTTTTCCTTGAATTATATTTTATTATTTAATTGATTAAATACTTATTTAAAATAGATTTAAGGTTAGAGGGGTTTCTCTTTAAAAGAGAAGGAGTTTTGAATTGGTTTAGGTATGGTTATGCTTTAATCATGGTTTAATGGTTTTGAAAATTAATGAAACTATTAATGGATGTGAATGTTATACCGTATATAATTATTTATACATAGGCGTATCATTGTTTAGTAAACTTAAAACTTTATTAGGTTTGGTTTTAATCAGAGATGATCTACTTATTGGTTTTCAGAGGTCTGATAGAGTGAACTTGCTCGTAGGGTTTAACCCACGATTTATTTTTCAGGTTATTCGAAGTTCCAGTCTCGAGGTTGAGGATCCGTAGCTGGGGGACTATCATTCATCTATTCAGCTTGTGTACTTTTATAGTTGATTGAATTATTGGATAATGGTTTAAGGGGTCCTTAAGTTACAGGATTCCCGAGTTGTAACCATTGGAGAGTTATTAATGGAAATTTTTATTCATTAGTTTTTCTTCAGCGTATGAATAATTCTTTTTATTTTCTCTTTGTATTCTGTGCTTGTTAAATACTTTAATTATTTTGATATTTCCCTGATTTTGTGCGTGGACTTGATCTACCCGTGTTCCAAAATTTGGGGGTATCACAAGCACCAACACTTCCCTCTATTGAACTGGAAAATGTGTTTAGACAATACGCTGTCTGACAGGAAAATAAGCACCCCTAGAATGCACAGCCTAACTGAATTAAATTTCTTTCCAACATCACAAGCAACCAAACAAGAAGAATTCATTAAGATAATGAAAATTTCATATAGTACTGACCTGTAATATAGTGCATAACTCACATAGAATTAATCATGCAGTATGATGTGGATGTGAGAGTTTTCCTTGGCTCAGCTCATTATGATGAATGTGAGAGGTTGTCAAACGCGTGTCGCAGCAAAACCCTTTGCATTTCAGTCATTTTTACATAGTTGGATTCACTTAATCCATCTTTATTTTTTAAGAGATAAAAAGAATTGATTGAATTTCTTGCATCTGGCATATAAAAAGAGAACGAGTTCTCATTGATTCATCCGACTTCCAGTCGGGCGGCAATGTCAGTCGCGGCAACGGGTTGGAACCTGAATCAGGTTTGCCAATTGGGTCCACTATTCAAGCAATTCTATTTGTTGGACAACTGAGATTTGTTTTTGTTTGCAGAATTGTTTGGATTTGGGTTGTTCAAGTTTGGGATTTCTGAATTGATAATGCTTGGGAGAGGTACTGCCAGTTGCGCGCCTTTTCCATCAGCTCTGCTAGAATCTTACAAAAATGCAGCAGGACTATGTTTTTCTGTGAAGAGTTTGCAGAGCTCTGTTTTCTTAGATCTTGAGTCAGTGATATCTCAAGTTTTTATGGTGACAGTTTTCCATAGTCGTAACAGAGTGCATTATTGTGAAGCATGCGGTTAAAACCATAAAACAACCCATATAATGTACACTTGAAGGCTACTAAATTCTACACAGAATAATGATAAGCCAGTTGTAGATTATTACTCTTTCTTGTATTTTAACAATTTGCCCCTGTATAATTTACAGGGTATATATATATATATATATATATATATATATATATATATATATATATATATTTTAAAATAAGTTTGTATACTTTATACATATACCTCCATAGCAAAGATTATAACAATACTTAGAAAGCAGCTTCTGGAGGTAAACAAAGATGGACCAGCCTTGTACTAATGCTTTAAATTTATTAAAGAATAGAATTATTCCATGAAAAATCAACATATTGTGTAAGATTTTTTCGAAACTCCTATTTAAATTAAGCCACATGATAGCTCTTACCAACACATGATTTATTGGAAATAACAAACTATATTATCACCATATATGTAATCTTATTCTAAAGTTACTTAAATTATTAAGGCAGCCATATAAATTAGTCAGAAGGACTTATCACGCCTTCAATCTCAAGGAGGTTCTTGAAAATTTTATATGATGATGTAAAGACTAGTTCTTAACATGCCAATCGAATAACTCACTATACAATATAGCTTTTGTCATTTGCTTATCAAAAAATAACTGATCTTCTTTGATCATAAGATAGATTCAACCTGCTTTTGATAAATCTTCCCCGTCCTGTGTGAATTGGAGACGGTCCAATTGGTTAGGAATGATGATACTTATATAGGACAATGTTTTGTACATATTCAAACAATTTCAGGCTATGGCTGCTCCAAGCAAACAATGAAATTAAATAGCATAGTTAAGTACTCTTTTGTTTTAAATTTAAAAGTACTTCCATAGCTTTGCAACTAAACACCCAAGACCTTGTAAAGAAGCATCTGTATAGACAAGATACTCTATCCCATTCTGAGAAGTAGATAGAACAGGTGTAGAAGTCAACTTGTCCTTTAACTCATCAAAAGCTTTTTGACAGTGTTCATCCCATAGGAACCGTAAACCCTTCCTAGTCAAATGAGTGAGTGGAACCCTTGAATGAATCTACGATAGTATCCTGCCAATCCCAGAAAACTTCGAATCTCCGTAGGTGTAGTACATTGTCCCCACTCTACCACTACTGAGACCTTGGCTAGACCCACCGTTATTTCCTTTTCTGATACTACGTGACCCAAAAACTTCGCTTCACGCTGCCAAAATTCACATTTCTCGAACTTGACACAGGAAGACTAAAAGTACTGGTCCAATAATTTGGAATTGAAGTTTATAAATAATGGAGCGGTGTATATACTTTTCCTATTATTGTGCAATGGTGTTTACTTGAAACTAATAATATCAATCTTTAAGATGCTGGGTGGAGAGAGGAAAAATTATTACATGGCATTGATTGTAATACTAGATATTTCTTGTGCAAACAATATATATTGTCATTGCAAATAGATGAACAAAACTGTTAAGAGTTTACATGCAATATATTATTATCGCAAATAGATGCATAATATTGTTATGGCTGTAAATGTATATGTTATCATTGCAAATAGATGCACAATGTTAGAATACTGCAGATAGATGCACAATACTAAGCAATTGATACCTCTGATCCGTAGATAGATGCACAATACCGAGCAATTGGTACCTCTTATTAGAGACTTCATGGTTGCGCCAACAATTGTGATGGCAACCAAGGATAAGGGTTGACGATTGTGCTAGCGGATGAAGTTTGCTATACTGTTGTGGAACCCAGAGTTGGATTTTCGAACATCTCTACGTTTCCCACAGACGGCGCCAACTGTTGATGCAAAATCTACACGCTCCGGAGCCCGTGACGATTCCTGTAAGACAAGAGAAAAGAGATGATCGGCGTGGTGCCGACCGGGTGCACTCCAACAGTCAAGTTAGTACTTGACGATTGAATATCCGATAAATGATTAAATATGGGATTTATGGCATACATTTTAGGTTGACGATGACTTTTCACTACAAGAAAAAAGGGCTTCTACGAGGGGCCAAAAACGTCGTAAAAACGTATTCACGGCGCATTCTAAGCCCTCGTGTATGAGGGTTCCGTAAATACTCAATTTTTTCTACGGCGATATATAACTGCCGTAGAAACGTTTTCTACGGCGAATTGTAACTACCGTGGAAAACTTTTTTACGGCAAAATATAACTGCCGTAGAAAACTTTTCTACGGGGAAATATAACTGTCGTAGAAACGTTTTCTATGGCGAATTGTAACTGCCGTAGAAACGTTTTCCACTACGAATTATAATTGCCGTAGAAATTTTTCCACTACAAAATATAACTGCCGTAGAAATGTTTTCTATGACGAATTGTAACTACCCGTAAATAATATTTACGGGGGTTTCAAGCTCCCCGTAGATAACATAATTTTTTTAAAAAAAAAGTTTTCTACGGAGTATTGTAACTACCCGTAAATAATATTTACGGGGGTTTCAAGCTCCCCGTAGATAACATAATTTTATTTAAAAAAAAAATTATAAAATATTACCCTTAAATGCTACCTAATCATTCACACAACCTGCAATGGGTATCAATTATATATATATATATATATATATATATATAACATTACCCTTAAATGCTACCTAATCATTCACACAACCTGCAATTGGCATCAATTTTCAACTATCATTTAATTCAAAAATATATCAACACATTCATAGTTTCAATTCTATATGTTAATGTCAATAACTATAACCAAAAAAATATCTTGAAATACCACATTAAACATATCAAAAGACTTAAAATATTTTTACAATTCAAGAATTCATGATTGATCAATGTGCCAAAATAGGAAGTAAATTCATTTACAAAAAAAAATAAATAAATAATCAATTTCCTAACAATTAAGTTTCAATCTACACTTTTCAAAAACACCACCTCATTTTCCACAGTACAAAATCCAAGTAAGTAGGTGCTCCCATTGATTCAGCAGCCAAAACTCGAATAGCAGGGTTGATAAACTTGGCAGCCAATGTAACCCCAGATATTAAACCTCCACCTAAATTTTTTTTACCAAAAAAAAATGAAAAGCTCATCAAATTAGTAATAAAGATGATGTAGGAATAGAAAAGATGAATTAATACTTAGAAGTCATTAAACAAACCACATAGGAACTATTATAGTGTTTATTTGCGGCGCTTGCTCCAAATACTCCAATGATATGGTACCCTAAACTAAACCCTTAATTAATTAATATATATATATATATATATATATATATATATGCTTCCCAACCAAATTTTGTTTCACCCACTTACCAGAACCATCTCTTGCTGGGCTGAAACACACAAGCAGGAACTCATTCGTATCACATCGAAACGTTGACTTCTCAAAGTGATCCACCAGTGCCTCCTTCCCCTGCCAATTAACCATTTTAATTAATCATATCAAACCCAAAACTTATTACTATATATTGTGTGTGTACATATATATACGTTGATATATGCACACGCTCTCACTTCAAAATCATTTTTATTTATCCACTAGGGTACTCGCCTCTTAATAAAATGAATTTATAGCACTCTTTTTATTTTGTTATATATATATCTCACTTCCCTAATCTGTCTTTTAAAACTGATTTTTATTAAGAGGAATCATTGTAGTTATTAGACCATTTTTTAACTCGTTATAATGTAAACTTCATCTGAAACCAAGCAAGCACGCCAAAGTTTATTTATTTCCCTTTTTTCTACAACAGCTAGCACTTTTTTCTAAATAAAAATGAAAATTACCAGAGCTGCATAAAGATCTGTGACTTTTCCAAATTCTTTAACAGGAATTATCCCAAAGACACAACTTAAGTATACCCTTTATTTTAACCAAATAGTGCACCATCCTAAGAACACAAAAGACTACATAAATAAGAACACATACAGCAGTATCTAATTTGCATCTTGAGGTGAAGCAATCCTCCTAATTCACCCCAAACCTCTTTTTTAGTTCCAATACGAAGTCATAAACCTTGTTGGGGTCACAAAGAGAACTGGACACACTAAATAATGAACGAGTAGGTCTTTGAGAATTCCCTTAAAGGGACCCCCTTCTCTGTAGTCTCTTTATAGGTCTGAGTAAGAATAATGAACTAGTAGGTCTTTGAGAATTCCCTCTTTCTTTGAAATTAATATCATTATTCGTTGCTATGGCTCTCTACATGACAAAAGTATTTTGGAATCTCTTTTTTCCTTTTAATGAATAGCTGGGATGATGCTAGCATAAATTCCTTGTATCTTATGTGGTCTTATCACATGAACCTATGCAAAGTATCCAATTAGGAAAGAGTCAATGCATAAAGATGTTTATCTTCTTAAAAAATCTTGATCGCGGAAAATAAATTTTAAACCTATATATTTTTATGTTGCAAGAAAATGTGTTATTCATCTTACCAAACCTAGCCATATTTAAAGTTGTTTAATGCCTTATTCAATTACAAGTTTTCCTTTTCCAAAAGTGATAAACATGATATTCTGGTTTACTAACTTCATATAAGAAAGCCAAACTGCATTTCTTTAGCATAAGTGACAAGAAAAGCAAGCAAAGGTGGTGGTGGTGGTTGTGAATATATAAAGAGATTTTGGCTTTATAGCATGATTAAATTGAATTTTATCTCAGTCTATATGCTGTTTTATTTGATGATTCAACAAATTAAAATGCGATCAATGAAAACCATACTCCATCCACAACAATTTCCCGACCTCCATTTATGCAAAATAATTAAAAAATATATAAACAATGAAGAAGTCCATGATGCAAGTAATGCAGTATCACATTTCTATGCAATGGACTGAATTTTCAGAAAATCCAAGATTAGGTAATTTGGGATGCAACACAGCCTTAGGGAATGAGCCCTGAGAAATCTAAGGTGAAATTCCTGAAATTATTCTTTGTCGTCTTCTTATTTTAGTTTATTTGTTATGTTTTTTAAAGTTATAAGAAAGCTACTTTGGTAGGCCAGTCCTTCCTTTCATCGAGACTTCACCCAAACAACCAAAAGCCACAAAAAACAACCAAGTTATCATTCATAGTTGCTGTAAAAGAATACTTGTGGCTGTCAGCAATCTCAAAAGATAATATGAAAGATATCAAATCTATTATTCATAGGCACACAACAAGACGAAGGATTTGTAACTTGAAGGTGGATTGCAAAGCGAGAGAGAGAGAGAAAGAGGCGAAGAATAAAGAAAAAAGAAAAGGGAAACAAACACAAATACCTTAAGATGAACAACTTCACCATCCTAAATTACCAAAACCTTTTTTGTGTGTTCAACTACAGCATTAGCATCGCTGGATAAGAAGAATTCTTTGGGTTGCCCATTCTTTGAAAGGAATTTGTCATCATGAAATGATGCTTCATTGTTCACATCATCTGTTAATTCCTTAAACGACGACAACTCAATAAAGAAAAGAGCACAATCTTGTGTTCATCAAGAGCAGCGCAATTATTAATAGTCCACTCATGCTTACACAAAAGAATTCAATGACAGCACAGAACAGTAGTTAAGAAAGATCATGTACAATATTTAAATAATAATAGCTGAATCAGAATGAATACAAAAGTTCCAATATGTGCATGGAGTAGAAAACTTCAACTCAATGGTGCCTAAGCTAGTAGCATATCCTTTTTCACCTTGCAATGAACCAAAATAAGCCACATGCAATGCAATACTACATCGTGGTGTTGATTTTTCAAGAAGCTGTGGTGTTGTGAATTGTGATGGTGACAATCTATGAAATATGGATACAGATACAACAAATTCTTAAATTATAGATACAGATATGCAAGGATAGGACAATATATATATATATATATATATATATATATATATATATATATATAAACGTAGATATGTATAAAAATCAATATATATGCATCTATGAAAATTTTTAAATAATATTTGTTTATGTTATATGTATTGTTATTAGCATATCTTTTCTATTTTTTTCACAAGTATTGTTGTTAACATTTATTTATAAAATATTATGATTAACAAACAAAACAAGAGTTGAGAGTTATATTGTATGGATAAATTAAGTTCTATTTTCGAATAAATGTTAAACTTTTCTTAACAATTATACTATGATATTCTTTGAAAAGTTACATTCTAATTCTCAAAACTTGCTAAATATGTATCTGAGAAGTATCGGTATGTGGTTGAAATTTTAAAATATATTTCAAAATTATAATACGTATAGGAATCGAACACTCATCCATGAGTATCTGAGAAATATTGGTGTCCGACACAACATGGGTACGTCACTCTTGTAGAAGTATAGGTGCTTCCTAGGTGGCAGTTGGTGGTGCACCAACTACTGGCTTAAAAATAAAAATTTCCTAAAATTCCATATAAAAATCGAATAAACGACCATAAAAAATGCTATGCAAATTAAAACCTTTCCATCAACTTTTAGGATCAAGAGAGAAGGGAACAGATGAAAAAGAAGAATTAAAAGCAAGTAGAAAAAAGCTTCTGACAAAGATGCAATTTGGCATAAATAAAATTTGCAAGTGCACTCAACTAAATAAAAAATGGAAATGTACAGTAACAGAAGGCTGCAAAGTGCAAACATGTATTAAATTATAAAAATAACAGAATCAAGCCCTAAACAAATGTAATTCAAGTAGTCAAACATAAGCCCAAGAATTCCAAGCTGAATATCATATTAATAAATGGGCATTTGAAAATAAAGAAGATATATGAATAAGTGACTAAAAAAATTAATTCGAGCTTTCTTAATCTTGAAGCCTACTACAGAAGACCTAATGCCTTTGTGAGTGCCTGTTATAGGGCTTCACCTATCATGGAATAAGATACTGTAGCAGAGCCTTGACTACCATGGGGCTTCTTTGGATCCAACAAACTCAGTCACGCCTTAAAAAAATGCCCCATAGGACTTGTACAACAAAACCTATCTCAGGCCAGTGAAATCCCATTATGTGAAGTATCAAGAGAAAAAGGAACCTATTGATCATTAGTTCTGAAAATGGAGAATCTGTGTTATGTTCAAAGGCCTAAAGGATTAAAAAAAATAACTAGAAAAATCTACACAAACATGGGGATATAAATGATGATGGCATAGCTTTTTTTGTTTTCAAGAAATGCCGCCAATTCTAATTGGTGCACCATTCTAGTTTTCACAAAGTGATGTCAGGAGGGCTGAGATTCAACAATACAAATAAATTAATAAAAGTTCCATTGAGAGAGATAGCTATAAATATTTTTAAGTTCAAACAAAAGAAAACAATGTATGGGTATATATCAAAACATAGTCTCAAGCTTCATAGAATTTTCAACATGGCAACAAGATATATACATCATTTCAGTTTAAATTTCACAGCCCCATTTCAGTTCAAAAGCATAGTCACAGAGATGAATTTATATCAAAATCATCTCACAGTTTTTATGAATTCAAGTACAGTCCAGAATTTTTGATACAACACAAGGCCATATATATTTAATCTGAAATTTAAAGGCCCAAGAAGTTGCAATTCAATTCAATTCAATTTAGAATTTTCAATTCAATTCATCGTCAACCTCAATTTCAAAAATCAGGGACAAGCCCTTCACAGAATTTTTTTTTTAGTCCATTCTCCATTACCATAGCCCTTCCTCCTTTTTCACATCACAGACTTATACATTCACAGCCCTAATAAACACAACCACAAATATATGTAGGAAATTCTAAATTCCTATTCCAAAATCAAAGTCCAAAAGTCAAATTTCAGGTTGAAGAGAGCTTACCCGAGAGAAAAATGAGAAAAACGAGAGAGAGAGACTCGGCCTGAAATTTTTGGCTGGAGAAGACGACCGGAACTGGAAATGTGGTGGCCGGTGGCGAGATGTGGTTCTCCTTGACCGAGAATCGGCCAGAGAAAGTGAGACCGAGAAGAGGGGAGAGAGCAGCAGCGGCGGCCAAGAGGTTTGGCTGGAGAAGCTTGCGACAGTGGGGTTCGAACAGAGAGCGAGGGCTTGGTGATGGTGTGAGGATGTGGGTTGATGGTGGTGGTGCCTCGGCGTGAGACACAGAGAGATAGAGATAGAGATAGAGATAGAGAGAGAGGCTAGGGTTTTTTCAGAGAGAGAAGTGACTTTATTGCACCAGCGGGAATAAGACCCGCCAAATGATAAGTAAAAATTTCACGGCCCGCCAAATGATAAGTGAAAATATTTCACTTTTTACCATGATTTCAGTTACATTTTTCATTAATAGTGGTAAAAAACTTTTCTATCACAGTTTAAAATAATAGTATATTTTTTATTATGATTATTTTAAAACCGTGTCAAAGATTATTTTAAAACCGTGGCAAAAAAATACGTGGTAAAAAACTATTTTTCTTGTACTGAATAAATATTTTTTTATATTAATAATTTTTGTCTAATTAGATTACCTTTTGTTAAAAAAAACTCAAAATAAAAGATAGTTTGTGGTTCAGTTTTAGAAAAATTATTTCATTTTTTATATTAATTAATAAATTATTTTTATATTAATAATTCTTGTCTAATTAGATTTCTTAATTAAAAACTCATAATAAATAAATAAATAGATAATTTGTGTTAAAATTTTATATAGAAACTCTTTCTAAATCAATTAATAAATATTTTTTATATTAATGATTCTTGTCTAATTAAATTTACTTTTATTAAAAAAAAACTTATAATAAATAGACAAATAGGTAAATTGTGTAAAAATTTTATAGAAATTTTTTTAAAATTTATTTGTTATATCAATTAATAAATATTATTTTATATTAATAATACTCGTATAATTTGATTTTCTTTAATATATGCAAAGAGTTTTGGTATTTATTTATATAAAAAAATATTTATTAATTGATATGGAAAGAGTTTTTAAAAATAAAAAAAAAAATAAAAAAAAAAAAAAAAACTCTACAAAATACTAAAATCTACATAATAAAATTTAAATTAACATATTTATCTATTTATTATTATGATTTTTTTAATAAAAGAAAATCTAATTAGAGAAGAATTATTAATTTTAAAAAATATTTATTAATTGATATATAAAATAAAATAATTTTCCTAAAACTCAATCACAAATTAGCTCTTACTATGAGTTTCTTATAAAAAAAATATTTATTAATTGATATAAAAAGATTTTTTATCTATATTATTATTAGATGTGCAAAGAATTTCAGTATTTAAGTATTTATTTATTTATATAAAATTTATTTAAAATACTAAAATTTACATAATAAAATTTAAATTAACCTATTTTTCTATTTATTATTATGAATTTTTTAATAAAAAAATCTACTTAGACAAGAATTATTAATATAAAAAATATTTATTAATTGATATATAAAATAAAATAATTTTTCTAAAACTCTACCACAAATTAACTTTTATTATGTGAATAGATTACTCTTACCAGACTTTTGCTTCTTTTTACTAGGATTTATTCTCTTAATATCATCATAACTAAATGGCTGGAGCAAAGGAATGAGCAAATTTGAACAGAAGTTCTCCTATTTATTATGAGTGAATCATTTGAACAAATTGAACAAATTTGTAAGACGCATTCTAAATGGCCAGGGAACAAGTAGAAGGGAAAAGGAACGAAACACAACAACATCAATAAATAAGGCGGTTCTACAACTACTAGTGTCATAAATTTACTAATTTAACGAAATTTATCATAACATCAGTTTGTTGTCATTTTTATTCTTAGATGCATAAAAACACAACAACATCAATAAATAAGGTAGTTCTGCAACTACTAGTGTCATAGATTTCAAAGCATGAAAAGTCCTACAAGGCTAGTCATGTTTCTTTTGACCAACTCATATTCAAGAAATTAAATACATCTCCCCAAAACCCCATTAAAAAAAGATATAGAAAAAGAACAAAAAAATAATACCACTTTATTTTTTTAGATCAATTGATGAAGAGAATGATTTACAATGTTAGGTTTATTATTTTTTTTACATAAAATGATGTAGTTTAATACCACTTTATAGTTTTTGCAAAATAAAATAATCATGGGCAAAAAATTTTTAGGCGCAAAATTTTTCCGCTGTCCATTTTTTTAGGTATTGGGGATGTGGTGAGGGCGTACTGTGCCAAAAAAAATGTAGTGGGGCTTATTTACGGGGCAAAAAAGGCGTCTTAGATGTGAAATTTATCCACGGGGCAAAAAAGGCACTTTAGATGTGAAATTTATCCATTGGACAAAAAAGGCGCCTTAAAAGAACTTATTGTATTGCTTATTTACGGGGCAAAAAAGGTGTCGTAGATGTGAAATTTATCTACGGGGCAAAAAAGGCGCCTTAGATGTGAAATTTATCCACAGGGCAAAAAAGGCGCCTTAGATGTGAAATTTATCCACGAGACAAAAAAGGCACCTTAAAAGAACTTATTGTATTGCTTATTTACGAGGCAAAAAAGGTACCGCGGATGTGAAATTTATCCACGGGGCAAAAAAGGCGCCTTAGATGTTAAATTTATCCACGGGGCAAAAAAGGCACCTTAGATGTGAAATTTATCCACGGGACAAAAAAGGCGCCTTAAAAGAACTTATTGTATTACTTATTTACGGGGCAAAAAAGGCGCCGTAGATATGAAATTTATCCACTGGGCAAAAAAGACGCCTTAGATGTGAAATTTATCCACGAGGAACATTTATCCCGTTAAATATATCTAAATATTCACGGGCTTTTTAATACGCCGTAAAAATATTTTTCTACGACGATTCTATAAAATCCTCGTGAAAGCATGTCCTATAACGTAACAATTACGAGGATTCTTTTAAAAACTCCGTAAATAGTGGTAATCACGAGGCAAAATAAAGAAGCCCCGTAAATACTATGTCGTAAAAGCCCTCTTTTCTTGTAGTGTCTTTTATAGAAGTATTAACGGTAGTAGTCTTCTATCATGAAACAAATTTACTTTCCTTGTCCATTACGGATTTAAGAGTCATTGGAGAGGGTAATAGTTGTTATTTCTATCTCCTTAAGTTTATCCATACCCTTTGAGTCTCCATGTCACTTGGAATTCTTATCTAGTCGAATATTCCGTATCAGTAAGGGAAGTAGATAACTACGAACTTCATGCAGCTCATCCATTTAACATAAATATCTTAACATTTCAAAATAGTAATGAATTATTTGAAACAACTGATCCAAATAAGGAATACTTTATTAAAAGTAAAGTTGATAACAGGGCTATTGAAGACACTCATTTGTAGAGAATGAAACAATTATTGAAACTAGAAGCATCAGCAAAAACAAATAATAAATTGAGATTAAACTAAAATTGTTTACGGATAATATTTCTTCAGATGCTCAACATTCCACGGGTGAGGCAGTGGCTTTCCCTCTAAATCCTCCAACCAGTATGTTCCTGGTCTCTGACATCGCGTAACTTTGTAAGACCCTTCCCATTTGGGATTCAGTTTCCCCATGGTTGAATCTTTGGGTGCTTGAATAACTTTGCGGAGTACTAAATCTTGACCCCTGACTATGTTCGCAAAATGGCAATATGAGTTAGGCTAATGGACAAGGCTCTCTAATTCTAAATATCTATTATTATGTAATATTTGGGAATTAATGTTCTGGTGGTTTGACAAGCAATCCTCCGAAATGGGGGGCAACTGATGAATGTATAATTTAAATACTCGCGGATATGGGAAGGTTGTTAAATTAACGCACTATCTCATAAGATTAAGATAGACTCTACAGGTTACAATAAAGATTAAGCTTACAGATTACGATAAGAATTAAGCCTACAAATTACGATAAGTATTAAGCCTACAGATTACGATAAGGATTAAGACAATGGTAAGTCTACGTTACATCCTAACCTAAACCCTATAAAGAAAGGGGCTAATCGAACATTTTAAGGTATAGAATAGATCCTAACTCAATTTCTTGATTTCTCCAGAGAGATTACTTCGTGTTCGTCGGAGCCTACTCCACCGGTAACACACCGGTGCCTATAGGATCATTTTTTCTTCTTTTCATTCAGGAAGTCAGATCAGATCCGGGTTGCGCAGAATCCATCATCAACAGTTAGAAACTCAAATACATTCATTTTGTTCATTTGAAGACTCGTGTGAATGAACCTAGACTGAATCTAATGAGTTAAAATGAAATGAAAGTAAGGAAAAAAGTTTTATAAGGTCACGGTAACCTTCGCCATCTATTTGAGAGGTAGAAGAGATACCACTAAACTATCGAATTCTTAATTTACCTTCCTTTTTATATGAATAGAATAAAAACGTGAATTCTATTTTTATTCTCTTGAACTATATCTCTTGCAATCATCATGGTCAAAAAGCATACCCATTTATTTTAGTTTACTTTTTCTCTTGTAAATAATGAATTTCCCCCCTAATTTATGTTATTGAAATTAATAAGTAATTTTGCTGCTTTTCACATGCACTGTTCATCCGGTGTGCTATTATTCAGTAAGCACCTTAATTAATTTACTTTACTCCGTCATAATATATATGAAATCCACAATGGCTTCTCATCTTTTTTCTTTTCAAAGTGAGACTGACCCCAATAGATCCAATAATTTACTCCAAAGGGAAATGATTCCATCTCATCAAATTCGGAGAAAAATCACTGGTTTGAATTTTAGGATTAATTGCATATATACAATCTCCCTAATCAACAAAGAAATTGTATATTACCTCTCCTACTAAGTTTTTAGCAGTAAGTACTCAAAATATATACCAACAATTTTGCAAGATACCCCCTTCCAACAAGTTACAATTAGTAGAAAAGTTTGTTTGTTTGTTTTTTTTTTTTTTTTTTATGTGTTTAAAATCAGAATTATTCTTTTCGTACAATTGCATAAATTCTCTGTCACATATTAGAAGTCCACTATCTCATTTTTAGATACTTTAAATTAGTTATCCATTTGAAAAGTCAAAACAAATAATCTTTATCTTTCCACTTGATAATTATCTCTGTCTAAACTAAAAATGACAAGTTCATAAATTTAAAAGGGAACAATGCATTAATTATATGTCCCATTAAAAACTCCAATTTCTAAACATGGACACATCTAATATGGGAGGGAGGGAATACATATTACTATATGTTCTAGGGACATATATGTCACAATGTTATGAGAGTAATATCTTTGCAAAAACTCGCCCATTGATGAAATGAACCCTGCTTGAAGCCACCGTGAGACCAATCTTGATATAGTAATTGCCCCACCAGTAGAGGGATAAACTTTGGTATAAAAAGGGATTCTTATTTGTTTGAGGTGGATATATATATATATATATATATATATATATATATATATATATATATATATATTCATCGGCCAATGGAGTCATAAACACTAAAATATCCTTGTTAATAATAGAGAAATGAGGAATTATGAAGAAAAGAAAGGAATTTTCATTAGTTGGAGATATCACATTGAAAATACATACTTGTATACTTTCTTGTGCAGCCCCCAGCAGCAAACCCAATTCTTGAATTGGAGACATCACAAACCACCCTATATGTCTGCTGCTGATAGTTTCCAATAATGGCGACAGCATCCTTGTCTGAATTTCCTGCAAAGGCCAAGCACGTAATACCCTCATCCATATCTACAAGAATGCTTTGAGGCGCAAGAGTGAGGTCGGCCTCTCCTTGGAACACCATCCGAACCTCGGGCACAACTAATAACATCTCCTTCAAACTACCTTTGTAACATGTATCGAGAACACCAGAATGGGTGATAATCTCGTACTCTAAGGACATGATCTTCGTGAACTCATCACGGAGAGCTGCATATACTGACGGAGGCAGACGCGTGATCACCGTCCCAGAATCTAATATTGTTGAAACGTTGTACTCGGCCTCTGACACTCCCAATGTCCTGCCTGCCACCACAACTGCAGTCAAATTCAAACCGTACAAGCTGCTATCTATAGAATTAGTAAGCATTGGAGTGAACTTGTAGGATGATCCCATCAACGAATCCATTCCAATGGACAATGAGCCTTCACTGCCTCCGCTGGCTGTTGGGAGGCAGTAGGAGAAGGCATTTCCATATTTGGCTGACAACTGAGAGACCATGGAAAGTTTGTCACGATTCAGGCCAAAAAGATCAGCAGACCGACCGATCAACCCTTGGTTGTCCTGCCCACACCCATACACAAAACCAGGCTGTGTTTCCGATTGGGTTAGGGTCAGTGAATCCTGACTCAAGTAGCCACGAGAGAAAGACTTGTCCCCATAGGTAGCGGTGTACACGCACTCGTTAGAAGGAGTGCAAGCAGGGTCATTGAGAGTGGCTTCCTTAAGTGAATTGCACTCCGGTGTTGTGCACGATAACTTTTTGTAGGTGCTGGATGTAGAGGGATCGAAAATGGGAACGACTAGTTTGTGGCAAGACCTCTCGCAAGGCTGGCATTGCAGCCAGGAGATGGAGCTGCCTGTGTCGACAACCACAGGATAGTAACTGGGTGGAGTGCCAAGGCCAATCTTGATATAGTAATTTAATGTACCAATAGACAGGCCAGGATTCACTGGTGTGCTGATGGACTTTGGTCCGAAAAGGTGTTCTGATTTTTGTGTGGTGTTGTTTGTGACACTGTTTGTTCTGTTGTTAGTGAGTCTGGAGTTCAGATACTTAACTCGTGCTTGGCCCCGAGAGAGTAACTCGGCCAAGGATGGCCGAGACTGGGAGGTTAGAGGTGAGCCATGTCCATGCACATGATACAAGGTGAAGTGCAAAGCTGAATGGTTAAGTCCTTGCTCTGCTTCTGCCCAAAAAAGGAAAATATAAGAAAGTTAATTATTGTCCCTTTTCAGCTATGAATTTTATGCACAAATATAATCATTCCCAATTAATACATTTTATATGTGAACAAAGAAAAGAAAAGAAAAATAAATATTACTCCGAATATTATATGAAATGTTGCAAACAATACATTAATTGAACCAAATGAGATAACCACAACACATGCCCTGATTACTTGCTAAAGAAGATGTTGTTGCATGCAAATAAAAACAAGTGAGGAACCAAACCAACCCCATTTCTCCTACATCTTTGGACATGCTATGTTTGTTTTATGTATATATTTCTCTCTCACACACACATATACACACGAAGAGAAGCAGAAGTTTCAATAACAATTTCGGGACCACTTGGGGTATTCACTTAACTTCATGAACATTTTATGGGACGACTTTGGGTCTTCACATAAATCTAATTTACTATTAATGCATGGAGACTTTTCAGAACGGTACTCGGATTATTACAGTATTTTTCCACCCGGACCCAGTGATACAACAAAATGCTGCGTTCTATTCTTTCCAAACGTACAAAACATAAATTGCAATCTATCACCCCACCTGTCACGCCATAACAATGCATCACGCAACTAAAGTAGATTACAAGACTGGAAAATCAATTGAAGTTGTCTCTGTACCTGGTGAGCAGGGTCTTCTCATTTAGATAGATTGTCGGGTTCATGTGTTGGGATTTATATGCCTTGGCATAGCAAATTCTTATCTGGACTGTAGTGACATATGTTCCTGACATATCTGAAATATTTATGATTTATATAATTGGTATTATGTTTCGATTCACTATGAAATTGATAGTGTCCCTGTGATTACAAGAAATATTTATATATATATGTAAGTGATGGCAATCAATGCATGATATATAAATAGTAATTATAAATTGTTCATAGTCGGTAATTATGGATAGACTCATAATTAATTAAGACTTGAACTGGATCCGCGTTAGGTTGAGATATATTGCAAGAGCCGTCGTATGCAATTGCTACCTATCATCGTCATGGCATTTGACTCTTAAGCATGAGAAAATTATAAACTCTTTTATTAATTAATAATTACTTTGATTTGTTCGGCGGATTCTTCGGGATCCTTAGACCGACACTTTGGATAGTTATGTGATTAATAGTTAGAGGGCTATATTTTCAATAATTGCATCATTGTTACTTGTATTTATTTTGTATTGATTTTGGTTGATCACAAAGTAAATTTGAAGGCCTTCGTATAGTTTTAGACAAAATGATTTATTATATATTTATTTATTAAATTATTATTTTTGTCAAACAAATGTTTTATTGTGATCGAGTCAGAAATAATCAATGGTACCAAAATAAATATATTAATTAAGTAGTCGGATTGATGGTTTTATTTATCCGATAACTAATTATGCATAGAGGGGTCAAAGTGCAATATTGACTTAGAGGTTATTTATTATTTAATTGGAGTTCAATTAATTTCTTTTAGTGGAGTAGAAATTAATTTATGAATTAATTGAATTGGGTCCATGGACCGGGCCAGTTATTAATTCATTGTAGCCAATAAAATAATAGGCCCAATGGATTCTCACTCATAGCCCAACTTGATATTGGAATCATATTAGATTTGAGACATATGAATTAGAGATTGAGAAAGATTTGTTGTTTCCTTTTCTTTATTTTTATGTTGCCTATAAATATACATGGTCTATGTATATTTTAGGAGAGATTTTAATGAGAAGGAAAAAGGAATAAATTTTCTCTCTCTGGAAAATTAGGGTTAGTGTTCTTATCTAATGGAGGCTCCCACAAGCCTAATTTTCCAAGGTCATTCATGGAGGCTTATGAGTGATTCCTAAAGGCAAAACAATTACCAAGAATATGGAGATCCATGGAAAAGGTGTCTAACAAAAGAGATCTACAATAAGTGAGAATATTCACTTTAGAGGAAAGATCTAAGGTTTACTCAAACCTTGATGTAAGTATTCAATCTTTTAATTGAATGATACATCAAGTTTTATTTTTTCATAAAACTTGTCTCTATGTGATGAATCAAGATTTATGAATTTAAATCTCTCGAAAAGTTTTTAAAACTAGCATGTTTCCCAACAGTGGTATCAGAGCATGGTTTGATTCATCACTAGAGATCATGATTTTATGAAAATCATCATTCATGGATCCAAAGTTATATATGCATATGTATATATATTTTTTATATTATCATGATGTATGTATATTTGTGATTAGATGAATGTTGATTTATAATTGGGCCATGGATGAAGCTTATAGGTTATTGGAATGAAATTTTATCTTTGGATGAATGCAATTAAGGCTTTGATTTAGCCGTTTGAAAGTTCAATGATGTAATTTAATTTTTTTCATTGTATTTCAAATTGTAAATATTTTTAAAGCCATGTAATATTCATCAAAGGATGCTATGAAGCTTCAAGAGGGTCCAAAAGGGTTAAATTATGCTCCAGTAATTTTCTGAAATTTTTTCGAAATTTTTCAGAATTTTTCTGGAAATTTTTTATTAATTTTTCTGGATTTTTCGGCGTTTTTCCGGTGGCCGGAGCATCACCGGCGGCGAAAAGAACTACTGGAGGAGGTTGGGATCTGGTGCAGAGCACCAATAATGAATCTGGCGCGTGAGGAACACGCACCAGAAGTGGTAGGTTTGGCGCGTGGGTTCCACACGCCAGAAAAGTCAACCATTCCGGCGCGTGAGGAACACGCGTCGGCTAGAGACCAAGTCAGCGCCATGTGGCGCGTGCCACGCCCCACAAACTTGAACAGGCGCGTCCAGGCGCGTGAGGAGCGTGTGGAATGCGGCTTGGCGCGTACATGCGCGTGATGACGTGCTAATGCTTCCTCAGGCTCGTGACAGCGCGTGGAAGCGCGTGTCACGCGCTGTTTTGCTACTTCAGTTCCTGTTTTAACCAATTTATACGCGTACAAGCCTCTGCAAGTGTTCACAAGCCTTTGATTGATCCTTGCGCAATACTTAGAGCATTTAAATGTTAAAAGCGGAATCCATTGGCCATTTAATTTGTTTCTGTCTGTCATTTATTTATTTAACTGATGCATGAAATAATTAATTGTTTATTATTATTATTCATGCATTGGATCCATGATATTTAATTAAATGACTTGATTTATATTAATTAAATTATAAAAATTAAGTGGATCTGATTACTAATTAATTTGAGGGCACTTATTGGGAAACGAAAAATTATTTTTGAAAATTATTTTTAAAGTGTGCTTCCAATTAAATATTAGTGAATCATTTAAAAATTCAATTATTTTCTAAATTTAATTGGATTAAAATCAAGACGTTTTGCATACATTATATCATGTAAATGAATAAAATGAAAACCCTAATTTAATGATTAAAAATTGAGTGGGAACGGGGATTTTTATACATTACCCCATGGCCTTCGTTATTAAAACAATTATAATTAGATCTTTAAAAATAAGGCCCCACGCATGATTTGAAGAGTTTTAATATTACAAGAATGGTTGTCTCATGAAAATAATAATATTAAATGTTCATTGTAATTAGATCTTTAAAAATAAGGCCCTACGCATGATTTAAAGAGTCTAGATTATAATGACAAGATATTTAATGTTTTATTTTTCATTAGGACATTAATAACGTTATACACTCAATCTAAAATCAATAGTGTTAGCTCCCCAAAGGAGTGGTCTGCACTAGGTGATTTTAGAAAGGCTAAACATAATCGGAAATCATTTCATATAGATCGACAAGGCATTGTCTTAAGAGATATGGAGATGATGGGATTTGCCCGCCAATAACAATAATGAACTTCGCCAACCGAATAAGTTATTGGCATATTGGTTATCCGATTTTTCATGCAGTGGTTAAGGGACCCACATACTATTTTAATGAAAGTGCTTGCCTAATAGTAAATGAATCTCAACAATAGTAATAATGAACTCCTCCAACAGGATAAGTTATTGACATATTGATTGGTTGATTTATTATGCTACAGAGTTGAGGGACCCGCATTAATTAAAATGGATTGTTCACCAATAATGATAATGATCTCTTGTTCGATTGAGATTTATTATATTATGTGGTTAACAAACTCATTTTAATTTTAAATATGCATGACAGTATTAATAATTTACCTTACATGTTGTATGAATGTATTTATATTCAGATGAATTATGTCTAATCCAGTTTATCTGCTTGCTTACATATTCAATGTAACTGGACCTTATTAATATTGACTGGAAAAGGAACTTAGATATTTTATTCACAACGTAAGGGTACAAATGTATTTACTACTCCTAAACCTAATCCTTTTACTTTAAGATACCCAAGAGAACATTAATGTTTTGAATAAGTGAAATAAGGCAAATGAGATGAATTAGTGCAATATTCTAGAGTTTACCTCGAATACGCTCCAAAGCTAACATTTACATTATTTTATTTTCTTCAAGCATCATGTTAAATGTCAATACGATACTTTGGTGAGATTAGATAGAGCATATGCCTAAGTACTGTGTCAAATTTAAATACCATCAAGATAGCCTCAAGAACTCCAGTTTGAAATCGAATTTTGGAAAATGATTATTTATTATTTAAAAATTGGCTGGAGATCAATAGGGCTAACTTGAGTGGTAAGTTTCAAGTTGACATGATTATTGCCTTGTTACCAAACTCGTTCGATTCTGTTAGAGTGAACTAAATAAGGAATCAGTTTGAGTTCACACTCACTGATATTCTTATAGAATTGGTAACAGATGAAGGGATAATCAAGAGTATGGGCGTTCCTATCAATCTAACCTAGTCTATACCATCTTCTTCTAGGCCCAAGTGGACGGGCAAAGCAAAGAAGAAGGATGATAATAGGACTAGACTAGCACAAAACATGGGTATCCAAAAGGTTAAAGGGAATGAGGCAGTGTATGTTGAGGGTAAAGAAAACTGTTTCTTTTGTCGCTAACTAAGACACTAAAGGACAAACTGTCTAAGTAATGACGTGG